AAACGTCGCTAACTAGCTTAAACTTAATGTTTGCTTTATTTTTAAATACAATACTTATCCTTAAACATTTAACAAAGTATTTTCAGTACACGAAAGGAGAAAAAAACTGTACAAGTCACAACAAAACACTTTTGAACTGTTAAGTTTGTACAATGTACTGAGAAAATTGCGTGCACTTGAATTGGAAACGTTCGAAATCACATTAAGCAACGTAAATTTGTACAAAATTGTGTCATAAATAAGAGAGCAAAAGAGAAAACCGAGTCAGCAGTAAGTTATTTTGAATTCATCTTTCCAAATTCCAGCCTCTAATGTAAAATTTCTTCACACAAGCATTGATTCTTGTTAACAGCGGGTCGATAATTTCGTCTGATTGTGCATAAACAAACATTGGCTAGTTACCAGTCCCACGCGCATATATACAAAGCCCTGGATCCTAATGTTTCTCAATGTTACTATCAACTGTTTTCGACTATGGTACGACTGTACTTATCATTCATTGTAACATCTCAAGCAAGTAAGCCATAAAGAAATCATCAAGTCTCCTACACATTATGATGCAACAGAATTAAGCTCAGTGCAGATCAAAATTAATAGATGGCTGGAGTCAATAAGGGGTAGTGAATGGTAAATTTATGCGAAACTTTGCGAGACGGCGAGACCGAAACTTTTTGAGTGTTTTAATTGCGAGACCAATGTTAAGACCCCAAAACGACTTTGCAAACAATTCGAGACTGTGAGACGTTTTGAGTCTTTTGAACCGCTCAAAAAACGAGACTGCAGGATCGATCTGTGAGATTTAACTTAAATTTTAAAAAAAACAGCATCAGACAGTTATTTGTAAATTTTACAGACGCGAAACGTGTTATGACCGAGGAAAATCCCTAGGTAACCACTCCTGTTGGTTGTGATCTTTGGAGACTGGTAACGAGTAATGGCGGCTCCGTTCGAAAAACAAAGTGATTCTCTTCTTTATTTGATGTTATTTATGTTCCAAAGCGCTACAAGGATAAAAGAAAACTTTCTTTGGCTGCAGAACTGTTAGAAGCATCGTAATTTAACAACTTAAACTTCAGAATGTCCCACTAAAGTAGGTAAGAGGCGCCAATTGACATACGAAGAAAGTCAATCAACTTCCTACCCTCTGGACGAAAATTTTGCCTCTTACCCCCCATCCCCTCTGGAATTTCCTAGGACTTTGACCCCCCCACCCCTCTGGAATTTCCAATTCCCTCCGAGGTGGGGGTATGGATATTTTCTGGAACTACACATTAAATTAATCCTTGGTCTGAATTTTTAAACTAGCATCTATTTCATCAATTTTAGGGGGCAGCTTTCCATCACTTCAGATTATGAATCTGAATACAAGAAAATGGAAAAGAACAATTAACATGGTTTGAAAATATTTAAAACCACAAAATTTGAATTTGCAAGATTTACCTTGTAAAGATCAAAAGATAGACTATTACCAATAAATAGCTTTTGATCCTGCAACACCAAGATCTCTTTATTATGTCTCCATACTGTCTGCTTAGAATCTTAGTTCAAAGCATTTTAAATTGGAATGAAAGTAAATCCCCTAATTGACATTTTTCTTTTTTCTCATCACTTTTCTGCTTGGAACTGTAATGATGTTGTAAGAAGAAAGTATATCTTTGTCACTATGGGCAGTGAAAGCAGTAAAAACAGTTTTCTTACCCTTCATCTGTTTTCCTGCTTCTTGTAAAGTAGGGCTGTTTTCCACACGAGTTATCTGTTCTGAGCTCAAATGCAGGAAGGTCTTTGAAATAACAGCTGAATGATTGAATGTTACTGCATCAAGGAAACAAGAAATACAAAAATTTTAAATTTTACCGTCTTGTGTCAGTATGCCTACTCTCCATACTGTTCTCTATACATTTCCTAAGGCAACACCAATAAGGAGAATTTGTTGGACAATCATGAGCTTCTTTAGTTATTGAACAATTCCTTTATTCTTGTGACCCTAATGTTTGTCTACCAGATGATATAGCAAGGAGAAATTAGATGCTAATCACCCCTAGGGGCTAGGGGTTAGCAACATGTACTAATTCTCAAACAATATAGAACATAACCAGCGTAACAAATGTTCAATACCCACCTTAACGATTGCAACACTGCATTCATGAAACATGTGTTCCCAAGATTTCGAAGACCTGGTAGATATTTGACCCGTCCTATGTTTTCTTGCTGGATATTACATAAAAAAATATATCAGTGATCAATTGTTTGTAATCATTACAAGGTTCATGAACTTGCATATGAAGTCACAAAATGGTTTATGTCTGTCTATTTTCACTCAATTTTTTTCTAGGAGATATTTTAATTTGCCTTTTCAACTCTAATTTCTAAAATACCTTCCTTTTGTTTCAGCTGTAAAATATTTTTTACAAAGTTGGGTCTCAGGTTTTGGGGGAAGTTGTTTTCAAAAGCAGTAAAATTTCAAGAATTCTCCAAATATTAGTTTCTATTCATCAAAAAATTCCATTGAAAAGGACTAATCACTATTCTGTGAGTATCTGTTTGCATGAAAAATTTTATTAAATCTAAATGCCTTGTGAAATCTGTATTTTCCAAGCATGCATTCAGGGTTTGCACTGTTTTTCTGAGACAAATTTCAAAGACTTTTCCAAGACTCAGATTTAATTTTCCAGGACTCAAAATTTCACCTCAAAACCTTTCATTCCCAAGATTTCAAATTCAGTTTACTTTACCATCTACAAACAATACTTGTAACATAAATTCTGAAAACTTTATTGCTTGTGCTAAGCAGATTTCTAAGACTTTACTGGACATACATTTTTTTCCCTAGTCCTGGAAAATGCCCCCCCCCCCCCTGCAAGACCCATGCAAACCCTGCACATTCTGTTTTTTTTCCATTCTTCATGGTTGAACTTACATTTGCTTTTGAAGCTTTCTTTTGTCTTTCAGGCGAAGTTGAATCCTGCAGACGACGTTTCCTAACAAAAATTAAGTTCTGTTAATCATTAACAACAATTCCTAACCATCTCATTCCATAAAGACCCTCATTTAAATCACATTCAAATTATATGTTGTTCTTTTATTTCTTTAGTAACAAAAACAATGGGTATGATGATAGATTGGAACACTCTTGAACTTTCATTAGACTTTCATGACAATTATCCATGTTTTATATAATCCAACAAGGCCTAATTGGTATCTCCCTTCCATTTGTATTTGTGTAATAAGTATGTTCTCTAAAAAGGGCTTCTTGAGTCTCTTGTGCATCCCCTTTCCTATTCCTAATATTCAGGCCAGTTGCAATGTTTACAAATATTCGTTCAACAGTTCCATAGTAGCCTGGAATCAGCTACCTGTAACTACATATATTTTTCCCTTCAAATAGTGGTGTAATGCCCACCATTAGATCCAAGATTAAGTTGTGATAAGTATTCTTATTTTAATTCACTGTATCTAATTCAGAATTTTAGTGTAGATTAAAACTTGTAAATAGTCATTTTAAAATGTAAATATAATATTTGACAAGTAAATAATTTCTCTTTAATTTATTTATTTTATTTCCCTATTAAGTAATGAAGTATTGCTGTAATGACTCATCCCTTGTTTTAGAATAGTATGAGATTGTACAAAAATCTTCTCCAAAACTACTGGCCACTAATTTCATTGTATAATTTTTCGCCGAAATTGTCTCAATTGCTTGGTACCCCATAATACTCTATCAAACATACGTCACGTAAACACGTGCCGTGCAGTGATTCATGGGCTTGAAAACAACATGGCGGCCACTGGGGAAACGAATAACGCAATCTTCATATGAAGTTTATAACCCAAACAATGGAAACAACTACGGACAAAAGTCGAATTGAGAACACCTCACTGCCAGTAAAACAAATGGATTGTACATGAAAATAAATTTTTTAATGATTTCCTGGTTTCCTTTTTCAACCGTTCTCCTTAAATAAACGAGTAAACATAACATTACCTATTTTCTCTCTCTAACATAATTTCGCGTACTCTCTGAATATCTCCCGACTTTGTATCGTTGATAACAAATTCGTCGCAAGCATAGCTGTAGAAAAATACAAAATGTATCGAGGGGTAAGCAAAAACGTCGAGCAAAAAATCGGAAACGAAGCTCCAATGACATCATCGAATTTCCTAGCAAAGTACAAATCTTGATGCTCACCAAAACGCAGACAAACTTGGATCCAAACACACCGAATGCTGTTGATTTTCTTCATGGTGAGCTTTGGCATGACCATTCACGTACCTGGGGTAAAATGGCCACTAGATTAATAAAACCATCTACGGGTGAATAATTTATATCAAATTCATGGGAGAGCTAAACAGCGCGGCGACATTCCTACGTTTCGACACCCCCTGATCGACAAAACAACTCAAACAACACGGTGATACTTTATCGGTGACGTACCTTCCGCAGCTGATGACACCACAACGCAGACATATCCATGGACTTTTTGTTGATCTACAAACTAGAACACAGAAATTAAATCAGAATTCTGAGCTCTTTAGAAACACCGGTAAAGGTGAAACCAAAAGACCAGAAATTGAGAAATGGGTAACTAATCGACCCTCTTCGAATGAAACCGTACTTGAGCAAGACCACTGCGCCGTTTTTTCCCGACGTATCTTTTGAATAAGCTGTGAGCCAACTTTTACGGCTTGGCCAACGTGTGTACACTCCATATAACACAAAAAAAAGACAAAATTCTCACGAAAATCACAACGAAAGGGTCAAATTTTCTATGGATCCCTCCTCTCCCAGGCGCTAACGAAAGCCATTCGTCATGCGCCGTCGGAGCATTCTGCGCGGCCTGAACGGTTACTAATTTTCCAGCCAATCAGAGGAAAGTTTTGTTCGGGTGAAGTCGAATAACCGGCTATTCAATTAAACCAATCAAATTTATTGATCTATCTCAACAGCTTACATTTGACGTTGGGAAAGAATAACCAATCAGAAAGTTTGTGATATTGTCCCTCGGCTTTCAGCTGACTCTAAAAATACCTGCTAAGTGATATCTTATATCGGAGTGCAAGCATAAATCGGGCGATCTCGGACTGCGGCCTCGTTTTAAACGTGAGTCCTACGTGTTTTACGCAATTAACTGTTTTATTATGTTGCTCTTTTTGCGTATAAACGAAACCTACACAATTCTGTACTTACACGTTTTGACACTGAACAACTGGCAATAATCTAATGCAAAGGTTTTCATGTCTGTAGACTACCAGATTGTTCGATGGCAACTGCAGTGCAAGAAAATTACCCAACTCTGATCATTTATGGAGTTTGCTTTATGGTCTGCCTGCATGTGGCAGCTCTTGTATCCTGTATTTTTGATAAAATAAATGGTTCATTGTATTTAAATTCTAGATGAGGTCATGATGTAGAAAACGATTTAAAATAGACTTTCTGATAGTAACCTAACGATATGCCTGATTTGGAAGTTGTACTTAAAGAGAAAATTACACGAAGAATTGTGCCGTCAAAACTTTCCTCTTAAGTATTTAACTCACCAAAACTACCACTGAAAGTTTAACACCAAGCTTCATTATGTGTTCACCTAATTTCCCGGATAAACTTAAGAAGTATTTATACACATGAGGTAATTAAAAAACTTCATATTTTCTGTTTTTTTAGTTAATTGTGAAATAAAAAGCAGTACAGACAGGGTCAAATAAAAAATGAGGTGTCTTTCCTTAATGCTAAATTCAGGGATTTTGGGTTTTCAAAGTATTTACTACTCCAGATAAAGAACAAACTTTAAAAGGTCAAAAGGGTCATTGAGAGGATACACAGCAGAGAATGTACAGGAATGTTGATTCTGCGACTGGACTTTTGGATCAAGGAAAAAAGATTGGTGTTTGGAAATCTTAGTTTGTACAAGTTGGTTCTCCTAAATTGGACAACACATTTTCATGGTTGGAATGTTTTTGTGCCTTTGATGCAACAAAGGATGAGAAAAGAAGATGAAAACAAGGGCTGTTCAGACCAGTGTAAAAAGAGATTCTATCAAGTCCTGTGCTGAGCACAAGTGTTGAAGTTATACTTGAGCTGTGAGCAGGCTCCTTCAAGAGCTGTGCGGAGCACAAGTATTGAAGCTTTAAATTAAGTAGTAATTAGTGAGGCACTAACAACATGTCAGCACAGTTTGCTTGCCTGTTCTTCTTTAAAAGCTTCCATGCTTGTGCTGTAGTTTCTGTGGTAACCTGCTAGAAGCTTATTCAAATTTTAAGATGTGCTATAATTTGTTTGTTTTAGAGATTGGATATTTTAATAATTGTATTTTTTATGCACAGCTCAGACTTGTGGTAAGCACCAAGCACTTACAAATGAAGTATTTAAGTACTTGTCAACCAGACAACTTACCCTTTTGAGAGAAGATGCTATTTTAAAGTCAAAGTTCTCACTTCAGGCTCTGACTCAAAGTTGAAAAATTTTCATGAGCCATTTATTCCCAAGATCTCAACTAGTAATTTTGCCTGCCATACAATTCTAATGATGGTAGTTGTAATTGAGATTTTTCTTACTCTCATCACTTGTTTGCTTGATATTTAAGGAGAATGTCTGTCGTGGCCAACTATGGGAGTTAAACAGTTAAAGCCATAATTTCCAAGTGAATCATGTGATAGCAATGTTAGTTAAGTTGTGGTAACATTGATTCAACGATGAAGATTCAAGAGCATTTGTTTTGCATGTTAACAACGCATCCTAATTTGTTTCACCCACTGCTTCTGTTGCTTGTACACTCTATGTTTGAAGTAGTTTTGTGGTATGTTAAATAGTATCAATTTAATGGCCCTTGCTTTTGTGGAGTGGTGGCAGTTGCAGAGAAATCAACTAGGAGCAATGTGTCAACTCTTTCCTAGGACAAAAAAATGGTCAGTATAGAGAAGTAGAGTTTCTTTGGATTACCCAAACTCTTTCAAAAGGATTGAAATTACAACAGAATGCATTAATGATTCAACAGATTAAATCTATTTTGGTAACAGAGACTTTCTTCAAATTAGTTTCTGTTCTTCTCTAATGGAGGGAAGTCCAGAAAAGAACTCTTAATTTCTGTTACCTTGGTGGCAGTGAATTAAGTTTAATATTCACTCAGAAATTCTCAGGGGTAACCTGCATGTGAGTTCTTTTCACAATTTCAGTACATAACATGGGAAAGTGGGGAGGAAACTGCATGAAGTTATTTGCTGGAGGGTGTTATTCCAGTACCAAAACCAACTTGCTGGTAAATGAAAGACAGCTAAAGGGGGTGTAGTGAATGTAATGATAAATATCTCAAATTTTATTTACATAACCAGCGGAATCTGAAATACATGTAAAAAGGATGTAAGTAACAGTAATTCACAATGACAAACAAGTTAAATAAAAATTGAACATAGAAAGAGTTGCAAGAACATGCTTGACAGTTAGGATACTAGTACAAAAGGACACTTGAGGAAAAAATGCTGACTCCTGATTAATTGGTGTGAAAACAATTTAAATATGGTGACACAGCGCAGAGGTTGGGGACCAGCAAACCACTGAGTGATATTGCACCAGGGTGATTACTAATAATCTTTGGTAGAGGTGTGCAGAGACCCATGCTCAGCCCCCCCCCCCCCCCCTTTTACTCAAGACAAGATGTAGAACAAAAAGTCAGCCAGTTATCGGTAAGTACTAACATGTAATCTCGTTCATGTGAGAATATTGGTATTAGAATGGTAGTAACCACAAGGGGAAGGTAGGTCTGGACCACCAGAACCATCCCTGAGGATCACTGTTAGTAATTAATTGAGACTATCAAAAATGACACAACTATAACAATTTTTTTTCTTTTCCTGCCACTTATTGATGTGCTGATACCGATATAAAAACCACAAAACGCAGAAACCTCAGAATAAAGATTTATTATTAATTACAACACTAACACAACAATATCTAAGGCTATACCTACTTTTAATAAAACAAAGTGTCTCTTGAAATTTTTTTTTCTCAAACGCCTTTCTGTGCATCAGTTATTATGTACCCAATACTTTTGTCCACAAATATACTACAATCTGTCTTGAGGTCTTAGATACCTCTTTTTTGATAACAAGTGTGCACCTTTTGTCACCATCTACATGGCAAGCAGGCCCCCCTAAGACTTCAAGGATACTTCGAGATATTAGTTTAGTGGGACAGAAAATGCCAAAAGGATCAATAATTCACTGAGAAAGAGCAAGGATGGCTAGGGGTCAAGAAGATTAAAATGGATTGCCAATGAATCCAAAAAGTTAGTTTGGTAAGGAAGAATGCAAGAGGTGATACCAAACCAAGAAGAAGAAGGGATAGCTCAGGAAAGGGGAGATTAAAACAGGTTGCACATAATGAACATGACCCTTTATTAAGATGCAGGAGATATGTCTTTTAGCCTCACACACAAAAAACAATACCACCAGCTATACAAGCTGCTTCACTATCATTTTTAGAGGCATGATAACAACAACATTTATAGTGAAAGTCACTAATACAACAGGAAACCCACAGAGGAGATTGTTCCTTAAAGAGAATACGAATGATAAAAATCTCTCTGGTATATGTAATTGGACAATACAAAAATGTGCACTTTCAATAGAATGTGAAGATTTTCTTGTGAACAGTCCATAATAATTCCATGTTAAGCCTATGATACAAGTTTCCTTTCAGCAAGGAGATCATTAACAATAACCATTTTGTTTGATTATATTGTTTCCATGGTAAAAAATAATCATGTTAAAGAGTACAAGTTAACAAGTTCCTGCAAGAATGAGTATCAAAAGAGAAAAAGTTGTAATAAACAGAACTAACCACAATAGTGGAAAGGTTTCCACAACAATGCACAGTTTAAAGCCTTATGTGTATGGGAGTAAGTATATTTCACTTGCAAGTTCCATGGTTGCAGTGACACTCAAAGCTATAATTCTTATCACAAACAATATTAACTATAGATACCATGTGTTCAAAAAATACTTTGCTATAGCTTTCCAGTTCTCTCAAGAAGGAAAGTCAGATAATCAAATAACAAAATGAAGACAAGAGCAAAAAGGAACAAGATAAAAATCTTTCATAATTATAGTAATCCTCTTTTTTAAAAAAACTACTTGCTAACACACTTCTAAAGTTTCACCCTACAGTTAAGAAACATGTTTCATGGATTCTTATAGAGATCTTTCCGATGTCATAGTTACTAACTAGCTTTGTTAAATATAATAAGCCTGGTCATAGCTAGTGTCTCCATATTGAAGCATTCTCTGTGGTGACTTTTTTCTCAAAGCTCTTTTGCAAATAATATTTGCCTCTTGCCAATTACCATATTGGTTACATAATACCAGTGAAAATTATTGATCTTTTCTGCAAAGATTGCAAGATACATTGAGCCTCGTGCATTTTGACCTACCATGGGAGATGTCAGTGGAAAACCATTTAGGCAGATTTGACTTTACTGCACATAAAAAGTTAAGTAAGTCCTGATTCATGCATTTCAGTGAGTATATTTTCTACTTCTGGGCTCTCTACTGTTACTGGTAGTAATGATATCCTGGTGTGGGTCCTCGCACATTGGATGGGTCTCCAGGTGGTCTCATTCCACTGTACATCCCTTGTTGTGTGGCAGCATCCATCTGTGATGCAAGAGGCATTCCTCCAGGTGCTGTTGGCTTCATCTCACCTTCTCTAATAGGTCTTGCCATAACATTCTGGTGTGCCCATGCTCCAGAAATCATATCTCTTCCACTTACACCATCATTCATGACCTGTGGGTACCCACTCTTTTGGCCAGTGTCCACTGTGTTCTTCCCAGGGGTTTGACCATTTCGGGTTGTTGTAGCACTGCCATAACCCATCATTCCAGGGGAGTTCATGTCAGGCATATTACGTGGAATTTGTGCTCTCATAATCTCCATTGGTGACATTGGACCCATCGCTCTTTGTTGTCCTCCCATGTTTCCAGGTCTCATCATTGTGGCCATGTTACCATTCATCTGAGAAATGAGAGGGTACCCACCCTGCTGTGTTTGAGCTTGAGAAACTGCAGCAGCAGCCATGGCATTTCTCCGCTGAACCATGGCTGCAAGCAGACTGCCAGCTTGGCCAGCAGAAAACTCAGCACTGTCCAAGTCAACTAGAAAATAACACATGATACAACACAATATTTACCAACTGTTCTTTTTGTTTTACCAGAAGCAGTGTCATAAGTACAATTTCCAGGTAAATGAGATTCCATTCATTGCTTTCACAAAAAACACTTCGAATTCATCTCCTACCCTCATTGGTTAGAAACAAGAAAATGCTTGTTAATTCCTCTTTTGGGTGAATTATATATGTACGCAAGTAAAATGTTCTTAACTTCCTTTCACACAATCTTTCATTACTTCTAAAATCCCTGGGGAAAAAAAAACTTCTGGGCCAGGTTGTCCAAAGCTGGGTTATGATAACCCAGGATTAGTGTAAAATTTTATTTCAGATCTGAAAGCTTAAAAAAAGATTTAGCAGAATTTTTTTGTCTAAAATGTTATGACTGCATGCTCTAAAGAGAATCAAGAAAATTATCCCAAACTGGCTTTTGAATAAAGGAATCAAAGAAACCGAGAATAAAATTTAACCTTGGGTCAGCGCTAATCAGCTGTTGAACAATTGGGCCCTGATGGCAATGTACAATGTACAATGATACTAGTTCATTAAATGTAAAGGATATTTTAGATTTCTCTCAACTTAGATAAACTTTGCCAAAACTTTGCATTGCTTTACTTTTCCATCAAATTTCATTCCTTAGAAACAAGTTTACAGATGTAACAAATAGTAATAGCATTCACATTTAATTTTCAATGAATCTTTTAGATTGAAAAATTAATTTATTTATTCTTTTAAGGTGTCAGTTTAATATATTTGACTGTATGCCTATCTCTATACAGTGCTAGAAACAAAATAATAGGAACAAAAATTGACTCTCAAATAGACATCTAGTGTCTTACCAGTGCCATGTTCTATGGCATGTTGTATCATTCCTGGTGGAAGTCTCTGTGCTGTTGCACTAGACACTGGAATACCCATTGTACCTTCAGATTTCTTAGGTACTTGAGCGGCAGGAGTGTTGGGCGAAACATTACTTCGCTTGTCAGTAAGCTCACTAGCCTGGAAATATAACCCTTCAATTAACTCTCCTGGGTACATTATGGTGTTAGCCATGCAGAAGGAGGGTAGTAGGTAAAAAGGAGTAGTCGTGTCAATAAGGAGACTTCCTCTCTCAGCGATCAAAACTTAAGCTGTTTTTTGTAGCTTGAAGTGACCTTGAATGTTGCTTCTCCTCCTTGGTGGATGGTGATTCATTGCACATTACCTGCTAGTTACACCTTGTGCCTACACTAACCTATGGCTTGCTGGTAACTGTTACTACTTCTGCAAGAGGAGTTACTCTGAGACAGTGAGGACCCTACACCTCACTTGGAGATCAGGAAGAAAATTCAGCTGAAGACAGAGGAGAACCTCTCAAGCTATGTTTTCTGGCACAACCAGTGAGAATGTCAGCAAAATTCAGATTCCTACACCACCTTTTCTTTTGCACAGTTCAGTAAAATATGTATTTAAAGGAGTAAAGCAAGATTAAAGATTACAAACCTTGGAAAGAGCTTCCAAGCCACCTTCCAAACGTGGGGATACTGAAAAAAAAGAAAAAAAGAAAAAAAAAAAGACAAGATTGTTTAAATTAAAAATTTGACCATTTTCTATACCCTACTGTCACGCTGCAATAATATTATCCAAGAATTAATCAACCTTAGAGTATCACCTTTTGGGACTGCACCTCCTTGTGTATAACGATGAATGGCTTCATCTCGTACTGGAGCAAGCTGGGGGTGTCTCTGATACATAGACACTGCAGAGTCGGGGCTTGTTAGGTCTGTGCGAGGAGATATATCAGAATAATCTGTACTGCCTGTCAGTGGCCCACTGAGAGAGGAGTTTACAGTTGGACTGGACAGGTTTAGAGTTACAGGCTGCATATTGCCACTACTGGACAGTGAAAAAGAAAAAGTAGGTTAGTAAAGGTTACTATGATTAATATTCAGTCTTAATAGTACTACAAGAGTTCTCCATATGATATACCGATAATACAAAGATACAAGTATGGAATCTAACTCAAGGTCCTACAATGTATGTGGATTGTATGTACTCACGGTTGACCACGGCAGTTGGTGCAAACAATGTATTCTGCTTCATCAGTGTAAGGATTTTGAAAACTGTGACAGCTTGTTCGAAGCCACACCCAGCTACCCTCCTTAGCACGGAATCTATATCTCACGGAAAGTGTTTGGCCCTTCAGTTTCATTACTGCAAACATGAAATAATGCTAGTTAAAAAAAAGGACTACACTTGGCACAAGTTGTATGAAACCAATGAGTGACTTCTTGTTAAATTATGACCTTGGAGTCAAGGAAGAAGTACCTTGTTGATAACTTTCCATCATATGTTCCAAGTCATCAGGATGGAAAAAGTCATAACACACTTCATTAAGAAGTTCTTGGGGTTTGTATCCTAGAACATCTGACACTCTAAAAGACACAATAACAAGAAACAATTTTTTGCTGTGATGAAATATTTGTCATAACTTAAAGATGAGTTTACGAAGCTAAGACAGGTGCTGCACTTCAATTTACAATTGACTCGCAAGCATTCATAACTGATCAAACTCCCGATAGCTTAAATGTTTGAGTTATTGCAGGTCAAGTGTACCTTGAGCAATGATTTAATCAATGTGAGATTCATTTATTCTTCCACTGTCAATATTTTGCACATTTCAGCAAAGACATATTAGGGATATGTACTTGATGTACACCTACCTCTGGTCAACAAATGTAAATTTACCATCCAAGCTGTGCCTAGAGATAAACTCTGTCACAGGAGGAGAATCCAACAAGTCAGAGCTCTGGGGTATACTTGTTGGCTGAAGTTTTCCAATAGTCACCAAACAGCTGTTCTCTGAGGTATCTGCATCTCCTGATGTACATACAGCTGTGCTGCCTCCAAAGGACTGTTGGTAATGGAACATAAAACATTTTCCTGTCTGACATGTATCCCTTGAGTAAATGGGAAGGGGGGGAAATAGCAGCGGGAGGGGGGGGGTTAGTTTGGTGTGAAAGCATAAAAATTTGTGTTACTATGAGTGGAGCTTTCTATTTTTGTCTCAAATGTCACATGTGTTATAATTAAAAAGTGGTCCTGAACATCAACTATAACTACAAAAAAAAGAAAATAATAAGTCTACCAAAAGACTTCTAGAAACCATTCCAGCACTGGGAGAAAACAATTCCACCAAACAAAGAGCTCATATGGTTAACTCTCCTATATGATATCTGAGGCTTTGTCCGTTAATTTTAGGTGGTATTAGAACTACCAAGCACTTAGCTTTCACATGAGTGACAAGAGAAAGTACAATGTCCAAATGCAAGTTGGGAGCCCACACTTTGTCCTGTCATCCACTCTCAAGGATTTAGTAATCCTCACACTCCTTGGAGTGACTGGTATCTAATTTCTCCTTACAATATCAACTCCAAATCACACAATAAGGTCATGAGACAATAGAACCTGATCACCACCTAGAGAACCTCTTGATTGTTAAAAAAATTCTCCTTATGAGCACCTTAAGAAATGTCAGGCAGGAGGTTTATGAAATTAGGAGGATATAAGACATCACTTGAAGATGTGAAGTTATTTAAATCCAATTTTAATTCATACCCCTATACCTTAATATAGCCAGTACAGTGCACAATGGCATATTCATCATCAAGAAGTTTTAAACGATTATCTTTTCCCCTTGCAGCATTATCACTCTCTTCCTTTCCACATCTCATGCGGCAAATGAAATTTCTCCTTGAGTTGGAATACATTCTTGACAGAGCTGAATAAAGGAAAGGGAAATGGAAATTAGTATTTGGTCAAAACACTTAAAAAGAAAAATAATTAATTAATATCTCCTGTCAACATTTCTATAAAAAAAAAACAGTCCCCCTACCTCCATGGCTGTCTTTTTTCACACTTCCAGCTATACAGAGGAAGAAAAAAAGAATGAAGGCTTAAAGTTGTTAATGAGAAAATAAATCACGACAGAGAATGTTTGAAAATTCAACTAGCAAAGATTTCACCAAATTTATTTCACTGTTACTCAATAAACAACTTTGGTAATACCATTGCAGTAACCCCTTGACCCTTAAGAGTGATTAACATTACCCTAATTTCCGTCCATTTACCCACGTGGCAGATCACCCACATCAGTCAATTTTTACAATAACGAGAAAAAAATTTCAACAGATTACCTGCACTGGCAGATAACCTGCACCCAAAAACAAAATAAAATTGTCAACTCACACAAAGTTCCTTCATTGTTTTTGAGCTGTGACATTGACAAGGTAAGAAAGTAAGAGTATGAACAAGATAAAAGCTATGTTATCATGTTTTGTATGTTTTTGATTTGCATCAGCTTTCATTGAGAGCAATAAATTCTCTTATTATAAGAAGCAGTCTGCATGAAATAAATTAGTTATTGTACAATTTTTTTGAAGAGTATCTGTAGTGGATCTTATCACCTGTTTTTTTCCTGTTTATCATTTTTAACTACACTGGAAGCTTTAAAAGTTATAGTATTACCTGCACCTTCCTATAACCCGCACCAACAACTGTTTGTGAAAAAATTAACAGATTGCCCGCAGGATATTGGCCAAAAAAATTACAGTAGTTTCTCCTTACAAAATCACCCTGTAAATCAAACATTAGGGTTAGGAGAATAAAGGAGATGAACACCAGCTACAGAAGCTCGTGGTCATTACACAAATTCTCCTTGTCAGCACCTTGAGGAATGTATAGAGAAATCTGATGTCAAGGTGTGCAAGGTTAACTTAGTAACTAATCCGCAGTACGTCACTTACTCTTTAAGTCAAGGACCCTTCCTGCATCTGGGGACTCAGTAGCAGATAACTGGTCTCTAATTTTCTCTGCATCATCAGGATGAACTAAGTCAAAAATTTCCTGATTCATCCAAGCACTCTGCAAAACAGAACAAACAAACAAAAAATAGAGAGTTTATCTCAGAAAAAGAAAGGAAGAAAGAAAATATTTTTGGACACTTTGGGGACCATAAATGTCCATCCTTACAATTTTTCCCAGCCACTGTAGCACTTAACTACTGAGAGAATTTGGAAAAAGTGCGGGTGAATCTCCACAGTTTGTCAGGTTACTTATTCGTAACCCCTGCCTGACAAGGAGCGATGTGAAAGTAACGTGTCTTTTCCAAAGAACACAACCTAATGACCCAACAAGGCTTTAAACTCTGACCAGTTGATCAAGAGTCTGCTGTGCTAACATTTAGGTCACAGAGAGTGCAAGAAAGTGAAAAACATGGTTGCATTCCCCTAATAAATGGTACTACATTCAATTGAGTTTTTGTTGTCTACTCTATTACTGTTTACACTGTTTACCTCATGAGTTTTTATCTATTTACAAAGCAAAGAACAGAATCTGAAGGTTACCTGAGGTTGGTTGAGGACTGGAGTTATAGAGTCTGAAACATACACCACAGTTCCAGTGCGGCAATTCACAACAAACAAGAAACCATCTGCTGCCTGTGAACATTAACAAGTTTGTTTATCTATAATTTAGCCCAAAAGGTAATTCCATCTTCAGAAGATGCAAGAGATTATACTTCCTTCTCTCAAGTAACATTAAATTTAATATTGGAAAAATTTGCACTTTGAATAAAATATCAGGCCTACCTCCAATATAAGGTGCTTAAGTTCTTGATCGGAGAGAAATGAAGGCTTGTATGATACATCACTAGGACCCTGGCCTTTAGACAAGGAACAAAGAAAAAAAATTAAATGTGATCAGAAGACAACCAAAACATTAACCAGTCTTTAATTAAAAAAAAAACTTGCAGAAACTAGCAGCAAGATTGAAGGTAGAGACCAGGATTCAAAGTTGTTATGATCTAAATGTCATTGCTTCTTTCACGTCCAGTCTATCTCAACACACTGGAAGGGGTAGCTTTTTGTGTCTTGTTCTGGAAACCAATTAATTGCTAGGCTCATGATTATTCCTTCCGTGTTAAAGAGAAGCCAATCAGGGGACACTCTTATCTTCCTAAACCACCCATACACTGAAAAACCACAAACTAGACTTGAAAAGTGACTTTGTTGTTGACATACCTGGTCCTCTGAGAGATTTCATGTAGTTCACAGCCATTCGAAGCACAGTGAGTTTATCTGGTTTCCGAGCCAATCCATTACAGGATGGTACCATATCAGATAACTCGTTTATATAAGCATTCATTTTATTTCTTCTTCGCCTCTCAATCTCACTATGGTTCTCCCTGTATAAAGAAAAGTTATAGGGAGGTTAATGGCCAGGTAACAAAAACAAAAGCTACCACATGATACAATGTACAGCTCTCACCACACCCACACAAGCCAAAGTATGGATGGAAATAAAAGGAGGGGGAGTGGTAAATTTCATAAACTGAAGGGGGGTGGCGAGAGGCAGACAGAGAGCACTAGCACTACCTGTATCCTAACTCCCTTCCTCCTCCCCTTTGACCAACAGTTTCCATTTGAAATTTACCCTGCTCATTGTCAGACCATGTCTGAGGCTCAAAAGACCAATAATTTTCATTAGAACAATCTTACTCCTAGTTATATTGATAAGTTGAGCATATATTTAAGTTTATTCCCAAAATATAATACAAGTCATGCCTCACTAATCTGGCTAATTTTTTTTAAGAGGAAAGGAATTTGTAGGTTTGTCTGTTTTAGAATTATTTGCAATCAAAGTGAGTGATTCTGTACCCTGTATTCCTTTCACAAAGCCAACTACATTTATCCATGAAAAAATCTTAAAACCAAACAGCATGTTTAGTTAACATGGCAGATTTTAAAGAATATTGGTAAATAATTTTATGTTACGTATACCCTTACCTACTTAACAAGCAAACTAAATTCCCACCGGATTGTTTCACGAGCACATTCTCAACGAAAGTTTAAAGGGCTCTCGATCATATACCGATACGTTTTCAAAAATAATTTCGTCAACATAGTACTTTCGTCAACTTTCTAACTCTTCGCAGAGACTGTTTAACAATAACGGAAAATTGCATTGCAAATTTTTGAACGAAAAAGCAAAAAAACATCTGCGAGGGTAAACGGAAAAAAAGAAAATCTTACCACCGGCTTTTAAAATTACAGCTGACAATGCAAACGTTAATGGTGAACGTGTGTTCGATTGCCATAACATAAATGATGTAAATAGAGAGAGTTACGAGTCGTTTACAATAAAAATGGTTTTGATAGCTTCGAAAATGTTTGCTGAAATAAAAAACCATGTAGATAGTAGCTAGCAAAATCATGTACGTGACTGAAAACAGACACAGAATACCTTGCAAACTTCTCTTTATTAGACTCGTCCGACGTTCTGTAAACATTAAAAGAGAGCTTGTTAAAGTAAAATACTATTAAGCATTTTGCACTTGAAGCTTGAGAAATATCTTTGCCCACGGATCGGGCATAACTTTCGCTACAAACAAGACATTTGCTATCAAACAAACGACATGTTCTGTAACGTTGAAATCACGACCCCTGCCCGACTTTGGTCAGAATATCACAAACTAAATTAACCGAAAGTGCAAGTCTCGATCGAAAAGCAAACAACTACAGGAAATAAATAAGCTTGGATAATTCAATGTCAAAACAAGCATTCGGTAGTTGGGTCCTTTGTTTTCAATGTCCCTCCTACCGAACTTACAATCTAATTATTATAACTATTTCACTACACAACAAAGTTCAGACACGTCCTGCGGAGAAAATGGTCAGTTTTCCTTTACCTGGGCATTTTTTGGTCACCCTTTTCGATATCATCATCATCCGAGTCTTCCCTATACAGCAGAAAAAGTAGGAAAGTTTGAGAAGGCATTGAAATAACGCACACCACATCATAACCAACGCTGGCCAGACATAAAATACCTCGCAACTCAAAACACGTTTCGGTAAAAGCCTTCAAGAAAAACTCACTCTTTGATCATGAAGGTCTGATTTGCCTTTCTTTTTCGAAGTCTACCATGGGAAGACTTGTCCTGTATGCCGTCATCTAAGCAACAAACACACATATTGATTGCATTCTGCATAAGAATCAACGCCATACGCCTGCTTGTGTGTGCAGGTTTCACAACAAGTTTGTTAGCCCAGTTTACATTTGCAGAATAATCGCTATCAGATTTACTCACCATCGTCGTTATAATCGTCCATTTTGGACGGGTCGAAATCGTCAAGTGGATCCAGTTTGGATGCTGTTAGTCGCACTTACACATTAGCAATAAGTTGGTGTTCCAAGCGAGTGAATCAGCAGAGAACCATGAAAAGAGTCTAGCTTAGTATCATGGCGGCATCCCAGCAAATAGTTCCTGCAAGCCTCCTTTGGATAACAGCCTGACCAAATTACCTCCAGATGCGACACAAACCTGTAAAAATTCCACTAAAGTAACAGCTGGAGCGAAATGATACCCTGTGACAGAAGTCTGTCGGTAAAAGAACACAATTCCAGGTTGAAAATTCTCTATGCAACGCAGCAACGACCAGACAATCGATTCGGTACTAAGCCAGACTCCAGCGCGGCTCTCTCGATAGCCAATCACAAAATATTTTAAATGTGTTTTGTTCGCTCTGACACCTACTTGCCTTAAATAACCAATGGCAAGACGTGTTAGAATTTACACACCGGTGAGATAAGAACACAACAACACAAAGCCGTTGGAAAAATGATAATAACAAGACCTTGATGATTATTTCGTCAACTAGCTAACATCAGCAGCTCTTATTTAAAAAAAAAATTATAGACACTGTAGTTTTTCAACGGTTATTTTGTTTGCTCGATCAAGCGTAAACAACACAGATTCGACTTCCTGTGTTTGGAGCGGAAAAGAAGAGTCAAGCGAGATAGTTGAAAAAAAAGAGAACTTTGCATATTGATAATGATTAAAAAATAGCTTAATATGCTGCAAGAACGGCTCAGTAAAGATCTATATTTATAATGTGACAGTACTATCCGTTCAAGGGTCACACCTACGTGGCCAACGTAGGAGACTGGGTTCTGAGAAGACGTGATTCCTAACACGGTAATTGCGGGAAACTGCGTCACAGCTAGCCAACAGAAGGAGCTAGCGGAACTCATTTTCTCGAATAAATTTCACACGTTATGCCCTCAGTGTTCTGAATATTGGCACATTAGATTTGGAACGAGTTGGTATTAAGTCTTTGACTTCAGAAAGCAGAATGGTAGACGGCGGAAGGGCTAAAGCTCGGAACGTCACGTTTCAGCTTTGGAAACTCCTTACGGTGGCTGATTTACAACAATACGATCACAATACAGAGGATAAAAGATCACCTTGTTTAACACCTCTCTTTTTCTTATCACCACAGGTTATAAAATTTCGTGCTGGCTTAAGGAGAAGGAAGGGTTTGATCTTATCGTCAAATTGATCAAGTGAAAAGGTCGATAGCCTCTACACCTAACGTAACTCGTTTGAGAGCAAAATGTGTCTAAAAATGTACGTGATCCGAAAAACTTCAAATCACTAATGTCAGTACCAGTGTATCTTGGCTAAATTAAGCCTTCTCCTGAGCCTTACCGCTTCACGAGATCTCTTCTCACCAGTCCCTTACTCACAGAACTTTTTGTAATCCGTCTCTACCCCGATACTCCCTCCTCTCCTCTACTCACGAGGTGCGGGAGGTAGCCGGGAAAAATTCACGCTAGAAAACACAAAAACAAAACTGTTTCCATTCTAAGCCACATCAGACAACACCCTGTTTCGGATGTTTTTTTAGCAGATCTAGCCTCGGAAGAACTAGGATTATTACATGAACTTAAGCAGGCTTCGGCACCCTATTTTTCTTCTTCGCGTAGGGAATTTATTTCGTATTTTGCGGGCAGAAATGCTTTAACGTGATTGTCCCGTTTCTAAGAGAAATCATGCACCAATCACAATTCGACAAAACTTGAGGAACCATGAAACACGTGCACGCTGAAAACCAATCATAGCCCGCCAACGCGGTCCATTGAGGGTTGTCAAATTCAACGTGTCTCGTGAACCAACTGTACATTTCTTCCATGTTATGAGTGTACCTCGTTGGTAATTCTTTGCCACGATGATTATTTCCACAATTTTGATTGCTCTCTTTGCATCGGTGGCTGTCTGTTCAGATGTCATTGAGCTCACCGATAGCACTTTTGCATCTGGTGTGAAAGACAAGGAAATTATGCTTGTAGAATTCTTCGCCCCGTGGTAAGAATTTGTACAGTTGTTGATCATTATTCAGCTGATACGCACAGCTTGTGAACATTTCAATTTTCCTCCCACAAATAGGTGTGGACACTGCAAAAAACTTGCTCCCGAGTACGAGACTGCGGCCTCAAAGCTTATTAAGGAAGACCCACCAATACCACTTGCTAAGGTACGTCTTCATGGTTACTTAATTTCCATCTTTCCATGCATTACTTCCTTTACTTCTCTCTTTGTATCCAAATCAACCTCACTCATTGATTTTATTGAATAAATTTTATACTTGCGGGTAATATAATTATTGTTTGCTTTGTTTGTACATGGTTTGTTTGTTCCATGTTAGTGAATATCGTTTTAATCACCAGAATACCTGGAGATCGAGACCAAAACAGCTGAGAATTGTTGATGTCGTTGAGTGTGGAAAGACAGGAAATATAATTATGACCTTGAAATACCATTTTCCACCCGCAAAAAAAAAAAAAAAAGAAAAAAGAAAAAAAAAAACGAACAGGAGTTGTAAATTCTGAAGTGTAATTGCATTGCAAATACGGTTAAGTAAATATAATCGCATGACAATAAAGATGAACCTGGATCGATTATTCATCCAAATTCTTTGAGAATGGTTAGAATATCATGATTCTTAAGCAATTCTCATTCGATTGTCAGAAGAGCTGCATTTTCTATTAAGAATTTAAGCTTGGTAATGTAACTAAATTGTGCAGGTTGATAATAGGAAGATATTTGACAATCATCAACCAATCAAATTGCATCAGCATTGACCAACCAGAGTGCATCATGATGGTTGACTAGAGATTCATGATAATTATAGAGCAACTGTCATGATACTACTTTCCCTCCCAGTCATTCTTGGAATTGTCTGGCAACACACTCGTTAGTCAAACAACAACACAAGTAGTCAAAAAGCGAAAAAAAAAAAAAAAAAAATGTCTGCGTAACAAGAGTTCAAATTTTTTGACAGTGTTTTTCAGATGAATGCTGCAATTTTTCTCAGAATATTATTACAACTTTCTTTTTAATTTAAACCTGTTTTAGGTTGACTGCACTGAAGCAGGGAAAGAGTCTTGTGGTAAATATGGTGTTAGTGGTTATCCAACACTCAAGATTTTTCGCAATGGAGAATTGTCAAAGGATTATGATGGCCCTCGTAATGCTGGTGAGATTTGGTGACCATAAAAATGAATTATTGATATGATTTATTTTTGACTTTGGAAGTAGTAATCATTTTTCAACAATTATATTTTAAATAAGAGTGATTTATAAGAAACTATTTGGCCCTCCGTAGTAAAGAGTACTAGAAATACCAGCAGAAAAGCTTCATCACCAGTTTGGCAACTCATATTTTGGAAAAAAGCTTTTGAAAAGGAATAAAAAGAAATCACAAGTGGAATCCTGAGAAAGTTGTTTAAATTGGTTGCTTCATGAAAAGTAAACCCATGTGAAGTCAGTAACACTTAAAAACTGATAATGCTTTGAGTCCTTATCCATAATTTTAGCTGCAATAGTTGAGAAATTACAAATAGCGAATTGTGCTTGATCTTAAAATTATATTGAATTGTTATTAATTATTATCCAAGAGCACATGGTGTTGGTTAAAAGACACCTTCCGGACTAAAATGATTTAGAATTTATAGATTAGGGATTCCTGTTTCCTAAAAATCTGACTACCACCTGTTTGCTTTAAGAAGATGCCTAATTTTTCCCACAACATTGCAACTCAATCAACATTTTGTAAAAACACAAGTCATTTCCTCAATTTGTTTTTGTCTAGTTATTATCCCAAATTGCAGTCATGTTTACAAAGCCTCAATTTCTTTTTTGCAGCGGGTATCATTCAATACATGAAGAAACAGTCTGCACCCTCCTCCCAAGGTTAGTATTTAACCCTTTGGTCATGAAGAGTGATTAGCATCTAATTTCTCCCTACAAGGAAGGAAGTGATCACCAACTGAAAAAAGCTTTTGATTGTTAAACAAATTCTCCTCACCAGTATCTTAAGAAATGTAAATAGAGACAAGTATGGGGAATATGCATACTGATGTTAGGGTGTAAGGGTTGAAACAGAATGCAAAGGGATGTTGCCTCTCCTCACAATATCAGTATATTAGCCCCAAGTGATGTAAATGTAGAAAAATATTAATTAGGGGATTTTTTTTTTTGTTGATCCAATAACAAATTCTTCAAACTAAAATCATAAGAATTGTATGTCAGATCATAAAGAGAATAATTCTCTTTACGATCTGACATACAATTATCGTATAAACTTTTGGCTATGTCAACGTATCTTTGGTTTTGTCTTCAATTCTGCCGTAGCGCAAGTTTGTTCAAGGATATTTTACGTTTGCTAAACGGTGTTTTAAACTCAAAATAAAAAACATGCTCTTTCTTTAAGCTGGTTATGAATATGCAAGTTCTCGGTGGCTGTATTGTTTTGATGAAACAAAAGGCTTCTTTTGTTTCGGCTTCATTCAATGAAAGCCGCTATGAAATTCAAGGAAAACGAAGCGCAAACCAGCAAAAAAAAACCCAAAACAGTGTATATCGAGTAAAACTAAGTCCACATGCCAAAATTCAACTACTTCTGAACACTTTCAAAAATGGCCGAAAAATCAAGGGGTTGTTCTTGCTCTGAGCCTTTCAATTGATGAGATATTGGAAGTGAAAAGGTTAAGGTGCTAGATGCCATTCTTTGATTTTCTCACAAAATGTTTTTTGGGTTTTTTTTTTCTTTTTCCTTGAAATGTGGATACTATTAGCTTATGCTTTTTGCAGAAATCAATGATCTGGAAAAGATGAAGAAGAAACTTGATACAATGGAATCTGCTCTTGTTGTTGGTAAGTGCTAAATGATAGCTTGCTTAAAGTTAAACTATCCACTATTGTCAAGCTACCAAAACTGGCCAATTTTTGCATTTTATGATATGCTAAAAATGAAAGTTTGCCCAAACAGTCACATTTGATGTTTTAACAGGTATCTAATTTAAAACACTGCCAGCAAAAATTAAGTGTGCTTAAGGGCTAACTTTGAAGTGTGCTTTCTTCTGTTTAACATGTAAACCTGTCTGCACTGCTGCATTTTGCTATTCAAATAATCTCTAAAAGCTTTAAGATAAAAAAGAGTTTGCTAATTCATGAGATTTTCCAGAGATGTGGTACCATCTTTAGCTGTTGACATTCACTTTGGAATTTTCAATAGATGGTGCAACATTCTAAAAACCTCTGTTTGCCAGTAGAAACACATAGGCTGGGCTATCTTAACTTGATGCTGTTAACATTAATTGGTTTGTCCTGATGAAGTTGATTTTTTTAACTTGTAAAATAACCCA